AAAGCTCTCTCTACCTCTGTAGGTAATCAAGAACTGACCATGTTATTCAGTCAAATGTTCTTTCCTCAGAGGATGGAGGGAAGAAGTAGGCAGTATACTTATTGATTTCTATTGATATTATCAGGCACATTTTCTTTAAATTAGCCAGGGTTCTTAAGACCTAAAAAAACATGAATATGTGTTTCCTTATTTCATGATGAAGAATTCAAGACCTTATAGCTAGCCATCCATCTTAAGATCACAAGGAGGTCTTTTAAGAAGGGATACTAGAATTAAGTGCCTAGACTCCTGAGCAAGTGGCCCATTGGTTTATCTGTCTAGCGATTCTATTATAAAAGATCAGCAAACTTCTAAATTCTAATAAGGGATCATGTTCAACTAGAGTAAGTCAGTCACAACCAGTATCTGCCCTTGGCAAAGTGTGTCAAAGTAAAGTATATTATAGTGGACACCACAGAGCTCTGTACAGATGTCCCTGTTGCTAGGGGAGCAGCTGGCTGACTACTCTCAGCTGTCAGCCCTCTCAGGAAATTGCGCTGGGCTGAAAATAGTCATCTTGTCCGGGGTCATGCCTCCTTTCCAGGGCAGCTCTTAGCTCTGCCCAAGCTGGGGACCAGTCTACCCCATTTCAGGAGTCGCCGTTTGGTGGACTGAAACCTCTGTTGAGTTTGTACCAGGACCTAACTTCATCCTCCACTTGGCCCCACACCCTTCACTTTCCTTCCGCAAGTGGAAGCATCCTCTAAATAAACCTCCTGTGTGCTAATCTCCATCTCACAGCCTGCTTTTTAGGGAGCCTGATGTGACCATGTTTTTAGGTCTTATCCCAACACAACGAGGGTCCAATGTCCTCATTACATAAGTCTTCATTTCTCTCCTATCAAAATCTGCTTTTGAAATTTATAGAAAACTTAAAATAAAAACCCGATAGTCAAAAATCTGCTTGTAAGAAAGAATCTAATGAACCCATTCCCTCTAAGGTATAACAGACCAACAATTATAATATGTGAAAATTTCAATTTCCCTCTTTGCATTGACTCTTACACCCTCTCATCCCTTGAGAGTTTGTCTATGATGATCCAAAGCCTGACTGGAAAAACAGAGCTCTAATAAGTGAGATTTCAGGTATCCGTATATAAATGGATAACAGTAGGACCTCATCTTTCTAGATTCATTTGGCAAATTGCTACAACTTCTGCGTATAATACTGTTCACCCCATGCTGGCCACCTTGCCAACGGGGTTAGAAGTCAGTGCTCTAAAAAGTCGTTGTGCATCATTGTGCTTGTGCTCCTGTGACAAATGCAGCACCATGCACACTTTGGTGGAGGAGACTCATTAGGGGTTTCCTCTTTAGTACAAAAATATTGATGCAGTAGTCAAGAAGGTCACTGTGTGGGTAAGTCACCATGTTTTGAGCCTTTCATTTCCAGTAATTAAAGTGAACATGTTATTGGAAGGTTTAGAAAGCCCACCCAAAGTCATTTACAATAGCTGTAATTAGGAAACTGGAATGCCAGTTAAAGTCTTTAGACGGGAACAAAATGAGACCAACCGAGCGTATAAGTAAAATCCCCTTAGAAAATGGCCAAATTAAGGATACAGACTCTCATTGACCCGTGCCCTACGTCTTCCATACTCATTCCAGGTACTGAGATTTCACTGTACATTTGTTCTTTAGCTCAAGTGGTTCCTTTCTATAAATGTAACATTTAGAGCTACTTGTATTATTTTTTTTTAGTAAAGCCAGTCTCACCCATCTCTGACTCTCATTTCTCCTCCAAACATGATTCTCAGGTCACCTGAGACTATTCTTGAAGGTTGAATGGCATTGTTTAATTTCGAAGATCATTTCCCCTGGGGCTAATGTACTAATGTCTGAATTCTTAGACTTGTTCCTTAATTTATTCTCCCCAGTGGTATATCTTAAACTTACTTAAAAATGCATTTAGAGTGTCTCAAGTTGCCCCCACATGAAATCTTCAGTAGCTAGAATTTGACTTCTCCAGAATTTGACCATTAAACTTCTCTTTCCTGGAAAAAAGTTACCCTAGCCAGGAGTCAGGGTCATTTCAATGACTAGCTATCTTTGAGTTTAGACCACTGCTTCTCAACTAGCGGTGAATTTGCCCCCTCCAGGGGACACCTGGAAATGTCTAGAGACATTTTTTGGTTGGTCATGACTGAGGTTGGGGGGATGTGCTACTGAAATCTGGTGGGTAGAGGCCAGGGACGCTGCATAGCACAGAGTGCCGCCACCTTCACAACAAAGGATTATCCAGCCCAAAATTTTCATAGGCCTGACATTGAAAAATCAATAGCCAAACCAAGTGGACAATAGACAATAGAAATATACAAAATAGAACATGTATTTTACAACTATTTGGGAGTCTTTTAGCTCTTTTTCTCCTCTCTCCCTAGGTTTAACTTTGTAATGTTTTTATACGTGAGGCTGCTTTTCCAACACTGTGCTTCCAAAATAGTGTTTGGGATGGGGACTGCAATTTCACCTGCATCCATCCGGTGCATATTTATTGGATACCTTGTTTTGTGGCAGGCACTGGGCTAGGTAATGGGGCTATAGCAATGACCAAGTCTTGTTGGGTCTTTACTTTCCAGGATCAGGCATCTGAGAGTGGATATTGGGCCCTCTCTCATAACGCAGTGCTCATGTATACAAATACATAAAAATGAAGGAGGATCATTATGAAGGCATTTGATGGGAAGATTACAGGTGGAGTGGTTCAGTGTAGCATGTTGAGAGATATCTGTTTCTTTGGCTTTCCTCTCTCTCCTTACTGGCTCAATCTTTGAATGGCAAGCAAGAATCTTCCCATCCACAAGGAATACAGAAACAAGAGGAGCTAAAATACATCTGTTAGCACAAAGGACAAGATGGCATGGAGCTTCCAGGGTATATCCAGTCCTGTTAACATGGGCTGCTATTTGTCAGGGTGGAAATTAGGTCAGTGGGTTTAATTATGGTAAGAAGAATGAGTCACATGCCCTCATTCTCTTTGAGCAAAGATGGCTGTTTCTTTTTATGGGAGCCAGTTTTTCTCTTTTTCTTAATCATTCTGTTGTGTCTGTTTTTGTGAACTTTCTTCTTGTCCTTCTTTTTTGACTTTTGCTTTTCCTCTTCTACCACTAAAATTCTTCCCTTCTTTTCTTTTTCCACTTTTAATTCAAACTTTCTAGATGACTTTGTATACCTTCCTTCACAAACAAAATAAAAACACAAAAACTTCCAGGAAACCATGTATCAAGATCACACCAGTCTGAAATTTGAACTTATTTTTTTCATTAAAGATGGATGCTTTTTTGTATATGTATCCACATCTGTGTTTTCTATCTTTTAATGCTGCACATTATTTGGGCCAGAGTACATGCTGGCTCGGATCTTAATTATCTTTAGGGCTTGTCCCAAAACAAAGCGAAATCATAGGTGAGGTGGGAGATATTTTTATGTTATGTAAGAAAAGAATGTGATAAAGTTTATGTATATTGGATCTTTAAGCCATACCAAAGTCCTTATTTGTTTTACATTTCTTTTTTCTTTGACTCCTCAACCAATATTAAATGATCCGTGTAAATATGTATACGTGTGTATACATATGTATATACATTCACATGTATATCTATATGAATGTTTACTGCAGCATAATTTGTAACAGCAAACAAAAGTAAACAAAAACAACAATAAAAGAACCAAAACCTGGAAATTACCAAATATACATCCATAAAAGAAAGCATACATAAATATGGCATATCTCTATTATGGAATGTGATGAGGCTATTGAGAAGAATGAACCAATCTATATGGACTGACCTGGAAAGGTGATGATATTATCTTCTTTTATTTATTTTTATTTGTAATATGAGAGTGAGAAATATGTGAGTGAGAAAGGGGCAGAAGGAGAAAATCTTAAGCAGGCTCCATACTCAGTGTGGAGCTCAACATGGAGCTCAATTCCACGATCCTGGGATCATGGCCTGAGCTGAAATCAAGAGTCAGTCATTCAACCGACTGAGCTAACCAGGTGCCCCGTTGATACTATTATATTCTTAAGTAGGATGATAAGATCTCAAGAAAGAAAGACATCTCTATATGTGTACATGTAACATAATACAGATAAATAATATGTAATTTGTGTAATTATATATAATGTAATGTGTATTTGGATAAACAGAAAGTGTAAAAAGATGAAGACAAATTTTTATTATTGAATAACTCAAGAGAATAGGTTTGAAAGGAGATGGATTCATTATGAATATATATTTTGTAATTAAAGAAAAAGGAGAAAGGTTTACTGAAACATATTTCAGTACCATTATGTGGTACTATCTTCACAGGGTAGTCCAAAAGGAGCAAGCTTGCATGTAAATCCCAACTGGTTATGCTAAAATGCATTTTTAGTGGCTCATGAGGCCAGAAAGATAAAAACACATATAGCTAAAAAAGTAGATCACGGGGAGAACAAACGTGCTGAAGAAAGTAGAGACGAGATAGCAAGAGCTGGTACTGCTGTGCAGATTCTCAAATCTCTTAAATGGGGAGAAGCTCATCCCTCAAGCTCATAATAGGTTTCCTCTGAAAGATTTGGCCTTTGAAATTTTGCACATATCTCTTTAAGATAGAGAGAGTACCATATGTGCTTGGTAAGGTGGGTTCTAGAGTCAGACTTCTTGGCTTTGATTCCTCACCTTTTCCCAAGGTATGTGATTTTTTGACAATTAACCAAATTGTGCTGTGGCTACCTGGCTTGTGAAATAAAGGTAAGTAAGAGTCTTATCTCACCCTACTGTTGTCGGCCCATAACGAATGTTCCGACTTGGGTAAAGTGGCAGTGGAGCAGTGAAGGCCAGGCATTTTTTAAAATCCAGAGAACCCAATGGGGTCATAAGAAGTGGGGCCCACCATGGATTGCAGATGAATAGGGCAGGGTCAGTATCATTACAGTTTGATGATTCTAATGTGTCACCCACTTTCCTGTTTTGTAGACCACCATTTTCAGCACATTGGCCAGCGAAAAGTCCTTATCTGACTGTAAAAAGGTAAGTTGGCCTCTGAGACTTCTAACCTGCTGTCAGAGTAACTAAAAAGCCTTTCGAGTTGATGACATTCAGTGGAAAAGCTATGGGATCAATAAGAATGTTCTGGTGACATGTTGTAGCTCTCTTTCTTTGGAGATGGCAATTTGTATGGTTCTCTTTAAGGATGTGGAAAACTTTGTTATCACTTGACAGCATTTTGTTATAATGCAGCCCTGACTGGATATATTTCTATCTTGCTATTATTTGACATTTTATTCTGCAAGATGAGCATCAAGGGAGTCCAGGACAAGCTGCATTGCAGGCATCTATATCTTCATTGCCAAATTTAAATGTAATAAACATAAACTCAACACAGTATAAAAATGATTTTGTATTTTGAGAGCTGATCATATAGCATAAAAATCTGGTTTGGATTCACCACAGTCAAGTTTGAGAAGCTGTCATGCTTTGCAAAAGGATTAGCTTTGCTAGCATCTGATGGAGAACGTTCCTGTAATGGATCATGTCTGGAGACTGCCTGCTATAGCAGTAGCAGCGTGTCTAATTCCTGACCTTTGCAGGCCAGGGGGCACTTTTATCTGCCTCTTTAATCTCAGGTTTAACTAGATCTTCTCTTTCTTGAGGGGAAAGAAGCAATTTCACAGTCTGAACAACTCAAATAAATTCTTTGACACTATCTATTGATATGGAAAGCCAGGTGCATAACGAGTTGACCTGTGCCTCATATATTAGTAACTTGGCATTTCTTAGGGTTTTATACCATGACATTGTTTTGCTGTGCTGTTTCCACTTATGAATTTACTCAATATGGAAATAAGTATCTGGGATATTCATCTTTACAGGCGATGTGAGGATCCACTATTCTGAACGCCATCCATTTCATTATCTTGAGAATTATTTGTTGCCTATTAAATCTCTATCTTGATTGACTTCTGCTGTGTTTGTCTTGGTCTGGGCTGTTGAGAGTAAGGTCCATGTCATATTCTTAACATTATAGATCCTAGAAAATGAAGGGACTTCAGGGATTCTCTAGTCTCACTTTTCTCGCAGAGTGGGACTCCCATTGATATCATATAAAGGTGGACTTAGCCTCTACCTCAGTACTCTGTTGACAGGGAACCCAATGACTCTGACCATTCACTTGTGAGACAAATCAGGCTATTAGAGGTTTCTTCATTATACTGAGCCAGTATCTGTCTCCTTTTGATTTCTGACTAAGTTTTAAAGTATGAAGCCAGTTAACATGCCTTCTTCTGAATCTTCTCTTCCTCATCCATGGGCTAATGATTTTCCTTCTTTATTTCTAGAAGAATATTGTTGTAATTTATTTTCAAAATCATGGGCTTCTAGGAGCTATCTGGTTTCAAAACTTGGCTCTGCCACTTACTACTTATGTGGCCATGGGTTAGTTACATAAGCTATCTGTGCCTCACTTTTATCATCTGTAGAATGGGGATAATAATTATACCTACTTCATATGATAGATGAGTAATATATGTAAAGTGCTTTGTAATCAATGCTCTATTAGGCATTATTATTATTATTATTATTATTTCTAGACCAGGTTATCCTTTGTTATTTTGCATACTCTTTGTTACTAATGTCAAAAATTATGTATTGTTCTTCAGTTGTGGTCAGTTTGGCAAAAACTCTTTGAGACTTCACTCTTCATTCAGAAGCTTTATTTACATACTTGCCGGGTGCATCATGAGACATGGGCTACAATGCAAGAACGAGCTGTAGGCTTTCTTCAGTGTAGCACTAATAGTCTAGTACCACAGCGTAAGATGGCATCAGTTTCTATTTATCAGCCATGTCCCTCTGTGGGCCTTGTGAAGTGTGAAGACCTTGCACATGCTCTTAAGATGTTTTCACATGAACTACTGTTAAAACATGACTCTCTTTTATATTTATATAATTGAGTCTTTGAGTATGAATATAGGCTGTTATGTTTATTTTATTCATTTTTACAATTCTGATCAATCCAGATAATTAAATAATCCAGTTCTGTTATCCAACCTATGTACTACCTCTCTCAGTCCTGTGTCATGCACAAAGTAGCATAGTCAGTCTCTGCGACTCCACTTTAATTCATCCAGGCAGTTGGTTACCAAGTGTTCACCTAGCATCTGCTAAGTGACTTAAACGAATATCATGTTGAACAAGTCACGTGTGATCTTTTCCCTTATAGAACGTATAGGTAGTTGTTGGACAGGTAAAATTGTGATGGATGACAGGATTCTTTTTTTCAGTTGGAAGGTTACAAGGTCTTATACGAAGAGAACCTAACTGAATCTAGGAGTCAGGGAAAACTTTCCTGAAGAAGTGGCCTTCATGCAGATACCCAAAGAATAAATGGGATTTGGCCACATAAAGACAAAGTACAAGCAGAGAAATAGCAAGTGTGAAAGTCTGGAGGTGAGAAGCGGAGAACTATAAAATGTTCAGAATATCTGAACATTACAACTTGAAATTGAGAATGGTACACAGTGAGACAAAAAAAAAAAAAAAAAAAAAAAAAACCTGATCATGGAGCGCCTTGTAAACCCACAGTTTGGATTTATTTTAAGAGTAACAAGAAATTTTTAAAAGACTTTGGACTTGGGAGGGTAGGTGTATGTGATTGATATGATTTTTACTTTATTTTTTAAATGTTTATTTATTTTTGAGAGAGAGAATGAGAGAAAGAGAGAGTGAGCAGGGGAGGGGCAAAAAAAGAGGGAAAGAGAGAATCCTAAGCAAGCTCTGTGCTCTCAATATAGATCCGATGCAGGGCTCGATCTCACAAAGTGTGAGATCAGGAACTGAGCCAAAATCAAGGGTCAGATGCTTAACTAACTGGGCTACCCATGTGCCCTGATGTGATTTTTATTTTAAGATCATTTGGCTGCTGAAGGACAGAAGGAGCAAGATTTCAGATATGAAGTTTAAGTATAAGGTTATAATCTAGGCAAGAGTTGATAGTGGGTAGGGTCAGAATATGAGGATCAATAGGCATTTGAGTGACAAAATCAACAGGATATAATAGCTTTAGATAGTAGAGGAAATAGCTAAGGATGATTTCTTGATTTCTGACATGGGTAATGGCCAAATGACAATGCCATTTTCTTAGGTAATAGGGTCAGAGAGGAAGTTGGTCAGTTCAGATTGGTATATGTCAGGTTTGTGGTGTTTGTGAGATCTTCCAGCAAAGATGACCAGCAGCCATCTGGGTATGTTGATTTATAATTCAGGAAAGCATTTTAGGATAGAAATATGAATATAGGAGGAATATGCGTATATAGAATGACTGACAGAGTAGGAATGGAGAGGCATTCCCTGCTATTTTCCCTGCTATTTTAAGCAGGATGCATCCCTCCATCTATCTAAGGTTAATGCTGTGCTTTAGCACCTCCTTGTCATTCAACTGTCTCCTTCCTAGCACTTAACCATGCTTGCTCAAATCTATCCCATCTGAAGAGAAACTTCCTCAACCCAATAACTCCCCACTAATTCCTCACCTCTTTCCCTACTTTTGCAACAATTTCTTTTAAAGAAGACCATTCTACCATTTTTATCTCCTTCTTAAACCCACTGCAACCTGGCTTCTACACCCATCAGTTGGCAATAACACCAACAAGGACCTAGGATATTGATAAACCCAAGGGATGCTTTTCAGTCCTTATTTTACTTAACCTCCCAGCAACGGTTCTTATACTAGTGACTACCTCATTTTTAATGGCTTTCTATTTTTATTGATTTGATTTATGTGCCATCACATGTTTTTCTGATTTTTTTCCAGCTTCTTTAGCCCTATCTTCTCATTTTACTGCATGCAGGAAATAGATTTCTCCAAGCCATTATATACCAATGCTCCTAGATTCCTATAAACATTCCTCATTTCTACTTCACATATTCCCTAGGCAATCTTGGAGAGACCTCTCACAGTATCATTTCCTTTTCAAAGACTTTCTTGGTTTTACAGGAAAGATGAGTGGTTTTACCTTCGGAGTTTATAAAATTTTGTACTTACACCAAAGTATAACACCTAACAACAACCACAAAGCTTGTCACATGTTTACCATATTCTCGACCCTATGAGAAGTGCTTTACATGGATTCTCTCATTTGATTTTTATAACAGCCCTCTGAATTAGATAAACTTATTACTATCATTTACAGATAAAGAATTTCAAGCCTATTGACATTAAAGATCTTGCATGAGGATATTCCAGGAGTGGGTGCTAGAGCCAGGATGTGAATCCGGGCAGTCTAGTGCCAGAACCATCACTTTAGTGTTTTGCTACTTCCTTTGGCCATTGGATTCTAAATACTTATCTATGGATTCAGCTTCCCTCTAAACTATCCTATCTTAGAGGAGAGGAACAATAGCTGATTCTGTTAGGACTAATAATAATCCATTGGTAGTAAGAACTAATAAAGTTTTATTGAATGAATGGATTTGCTGAATATATGATTGTCAATTAATGTAATATCCTGGGACTGTTTTGTTAAAAAAAAAAAAAAAGCAGTTTCCCCCCCCTCTTTTCCTAGGAGTTGAGAAAAGAATACTTACATTCAGGATTTATTTTTGAGGCAATTTCAGCACTAAAATAAGGTGTTAGTGGATAGCTGGGCAGCAGTATGTGAATTGAAGTGTTTAGTGAAAAATAGCAAATATCCTACTTCCTAAATACTACCTAATCGAGTTGTAAGAATCCTTGTTCTTATTTTCAGCCAAAGACCAGTTCACTCTTTAATTTGGAAAACATAAAAGCATTTAGGGGAGATATAGATATAGATATAGATATAGATATAGATATAGATAGATATATAAATCCATCCATTCATTCATGATTATTTATTGAGTGCCTCCTATTGCAAGGCTGTTGTTATTGTTAAACATGTTATAGAGGAAAAATGAATATACCAAGATATGAAGAGACTTATTCTAGGGCACGCATTAAGTCAAAGCAGACTCTTACAAGATAGGTGTGATTTATATCTTATGATTTCTTTCTT